GGATCCCTTTAAGACCCAGCAAAACTAACCTGACTGTCAGTACCAGGATCCAAACTCACCTAACATAGCCTTTGCCTAGGAAACAACGGTTATTGGCCAGCTCACCTTTAAATCACCTGTATCAGCACACTACCAGTGCTTGTGATAGCGTTGTTACCTTGTGTGCTCCTGCTTGACCCAGCTGATATCTGCTCTGTATATATCGTGTATGACCCGGCTAGTTTTGACCCTGCTTTTGCTCGCTTCTGATTCTGTACTGATTGGACTCTGATCTACCTGTGTATGACCCGGCTTGTCTAGACTACGCTTGCCTGATTCTTCTATAGTGCCAGACTCAGCATTACTACTTGGCTGCCCTGACCCTCCTGTTACACCTGCAGCGGTGAACCACAAGCACCAGCCAACCTCTACCTATATCTGCAGTGGTGAACCAGAAGCACCAGCCAACCTCTACCTGCATCTGCAGCGGTGCACTACAAGTTCCAGCCAACCTGCTTTGCTTAGACCTGCTCATGGTATGTGCTCTTGTTTTTTGAACTTTTTACTAATCAACACATCTGAACTGTTATCTGCTCCTAGCCTGACAGGAGGGATCTCTTTGTTGGAAGGTGTCAGTCAGGAGAAAGGTGCAAAACTTTTCCAAGGCATTAGATATACCATGGAACACAGTGAACATGGCCATTATTAAGTAGAGAAAATATGGCACAACAGTGACATTACCAAAAACTGGACGTTTCTGCAAAATTGATTAAAAAAAACAAGGAGAAAACTGGTCCAGGAGGCTGCCAAGAGGCCTACAGCAAAATAAAAGGAGCTGCAGGAATGTCTGACAAGTACTGATTATGTACTACATTTGACAACAATCTCCCATATTCTTCATATTTCTGAGCTGTGGGGTGACAAGTGGGAAGCCTTCTCATACTAAGAAACACATCCAAGCTTGGCTACATTTTGCAAAAACCTACACCAAGCCTGACCAAAGTGGGTTGCAAAATGTGTTATGGTCTGATGAGACCTTGCACTTTTTGGCCATCATTCCAAAAAGTTTGTTTGGCGCAAAAATAACACTGCACATCACCAACAGAACACCATACCCACATGAAAGCATGGGAGTGGCAGCATTATGCTTAGGGGATGTTTTTCTTTAGTAGGAACTGGTGCTTTAGTCAAGGTGGAGGGACATAGCAACAGCTCCAAATATCAGTCGATTTTGACATAAAATGACCTCTAATAAAAAGCTGAAGATGAAGAGGAATTTTACTTTTCAGCATGACAACAACCCAAAGCATACCTCCAAATAAACAAAAGAATGGCTTCACCAGAAGAAGATCAAAGTTTTGGAATGGCCAAGCCAGAGCACAGAATTAAAACCAATTGAAAATCTGTGGGGTGACCTGAAGAGGGCTGTGCACAGTAGACACCCTCGCAATCTGACAGATTTGAAGTGCTTTTGCAAGGAAGAGTGCGTAAAGATTCCCAAGGTAAAATGTGTCATTATAGATAGACTCCTACCCCAAAAGACTGGATGCTTTCATAAAATCAAAAGGTGCTTCAACAAAGTATTAGTATAAGGGTGTGCATATTTAGGCAACCAAGTTAGTTTTTTTATTTTAAAAAAAATTCTGAAGGGATTTATTTTGGTCTGATTTTACATCTCAATAACATTGCCTTTTTTCAGGGGCGTGTAGACTTTTTATATCTACTGTATACACTCTGTATATGATTGTATATGAGCTCCAGGTAAAGAGAAGAAGTATTGACTGGCAATGGATGACACAACAAGAGTATTCCAGGAACAGGCTGAAGTAAGAACAGGATACAAGATATCCGACAAGAACAGGACACAATACCAAGATATACAGGGGCTAGATACAGGCTTGTGCAGACACGACTAGACAGAACTATGACAATCCCAGAGCCCAGGGCTTGAGCTACTTAAATAAATTGCCACTAACCAATCCCAAGGCTGAGGGGTGTATGGCCAGACTCAATAGCCCACAGGTGACAGAGAGGTACCGAGAGTGTGTGGACAGGCTCATTAGCTCACAGCTGACAAGAAGTCTGGGCGAAGATGCACTGGCAACAAGCAACCACCAGAAGGAACTGGGAAGCAGCAACAGGCATAGTAACATTAAGCTGGCCACACACCATACAATTTATCTGCAGATTTTCTGTGGTCAGATGGAAAAGGTGCAACAGATTCTTCCATCTACACTTAACTGTGTGTTTGGAGTAATCTCCACCTGGGCCAATCTGTTGCACTTTTTCCATCTGACCACAGAAAATCTGCAGATAAATTGTAAGGTGTATGGGCACCTTTAGACATACTACTACCACTTAATATTCTTATGCACAGATTCAAGGTACCAAATGCCAGAGGCAGCACAGCACCACAATATCATTATGGAATGTTCAGTGTCCTTAAAAACACTTTAAAAAAAAAACACAGTTGTGCTATGAGCACAGCACTGCTGTGACTTAGAAAAAAAGCCCTAATTTGTTGAACCTGCCCACAGAACATTCCCACAGAAGAAGTGTAACTTGCTGTAACATGTATTTTAGCTCCAATCTGGCTTCTTTGCCAAGGGTCTTCCTGGGTCTTTTGTCATAGATGCCACTTTCATTCAGACAGCAACAGATGGTGTAGCTTGATATTGTTGTACATTGATTTTAGAGGTCAGCCAGAATTTGTTTTTTAATTTTCTTTGGCTCTACCAGTCATATTATTATTTTGTCCGTGTTCCTCTTATGGCCACATCAAGGGAGGTTGGCTAAAGTCCCATGGACCTTAAACTAGCATAATATGACTTTCTTCCTTTATTCCTCAGACAACTGTGTTTTTTTTGCACTTCTCTTTCTTTACTGTGCTTCACACAATGACACAAATGCCCCAGTGAGTACTTTTTTTTCTTCATATAGGTCAGGGTTAGCCAAACTCCAGCCCTACAGCTGTGGTGAAACTACAAATCCCATGATGCATCTCTCTCCTGAAGTCATGTCTGTGGCTGTGGGAATCTTGAAATGCTTCATGGGACTTGTAGTTCCACCACAGCTGGAGGGCCAGAGTTTGGCTACCCCTGATATAGGTCAAGTGACTGATTACGAGGGTTGAAGGAACCTGTGATACTAATTAAAGTAAATAGTCTGCTTGAAAGATCACTAAAATCCAATAATGTCAGTTTCAAATGAGCACTAATATTTTGTCAGTGCTGTTTTATTGCTTATGAGGATATGTCATAATGCAAAAAGAGTCTGGTCTATGAAATTAGAAATGATGGGTTGCCATTTACTTTAGTCAGTTTCAACTAATTTGAAACCAAATTTGGATTTTTAGGGAAAGGGTTTAGAGGTATCAATACATTTGGCCATTATATGTATACAGATACATACAGACACATCTTGGGGAATCCCAACTACATCTGAGTTAGCAGTGCCATCCTCTTTTCATGGACATTCCAGGACAGGAGGGACTGCACAATGAAGATAACATTGTATAACAGAGTGCTGGACTCTAAGGGGAAGTCTCACTGCTGGGGTATATGCAAAATAAGGTAATACATCAACCAGTGTATGTCCACACTTAAGTATGAGCATTTAGTGGCTTCATTCAAATTATGTTGTGTAGAGGCAAATCACTGTGCATTATGCAACAATTTTGTTGCCATAGACATGGCTGATAAATGTATGCATTTACCACATTTACAAAAGGTAGAAAATGCAGAACTGGATAGTTGAGTGCGGACAGCAGCAACTGTAAATACAACTTCAAATGTGCAGAGAGACTGAAATTAGCATATCAATCCTCCTGATGTGCAGAAGCTCAGAAGTACTATATCTTGTATAATGTGTGTGCCACCTGCCAATAATGAGTGTCACTTAATGGTGTATGGTTTGTAGTGCGGGCGTAAAATAAACTCCATCATTGGTGGCAGTAAAAGTTACCCCCAGATATTGGTGTATGTGGCTGCAATAATAGTCCCTATCACTGGTATAAGTGGCTGCAATTATTTCCCCTTCATTCGTATCAGGGACCTGAGCACCTCCAGGTGGCACTGTAACGCTGGAACCAGGTCCTGCAGTTCCAGTGCTCACCTGCAGGTGTCTCAGAAATTAGTCACCACCTGGTGCTGATCTGGGAGGGTATTTAACCTCTCCCTGCAGTGAGGCCTGTGCCTCAGTATTGTCGCCGTATCCTGTTCCCTGAGGCCCCCTGATCTGTGTCTCCTGGCTTCCCTATTGTTGCTCTGCTCTCTAGGTTATACCCAGCCCTGTTCTCTGATATCTGATTTGTCATTGTATGATGTTTAGCTCTCATATGTTACTTGTGGGTGGTGGTGGGGTTGCATGTGTTTGTGGTGTTTTTCTAATAAACTAAAGTTCACAGGAATTGTTTGGTATCTGAAGTGTGGTCACATATTTGGTTACCATGTAGAGATACCTGTACATGGTATCATGACAATTTGTGATCAGTAATAGTACCGTTAACCCCCCAGCATTGATTGTTAGTGGCAGGCTGTAACAATACAATAACCCCTACAGCACTGATGTCCATTGTTTACTTACCTGAGCACACGCTCCAACTCTGTTACCACAATACCCACCCACCGGGACTATTTTTCTATTGTTAAGTACAGAGCACTCTGCTTGACCATTGTAGCTTTTCTCAGTGTGGGGTACTGGAACACCGAGAACATTCCAGCACCTGGCATACCACTACCACTTTGCATGTATCCGGAGGACACACCAGGGCACCCTCTAAGCTTCTTTCAGTCTACCATTTTTTTTTAAAAATAAGGTAACATGGCTGATGACAAAGGGCGTGGTCACCACAGAACTTAATCAGTGGCATTTGCTTAGGGCAACTCGATCTCTAAATGTAATCTTGTCTGCCGTTTACAATATACAATACTTCACAAAAATATCATAAATGTAACTAATGCGCAGCATAGCTGAAAGATACAATATGCTATTAACACATTTCATTTATATGCTATTTAAAGGCAACCGAACAGCTGGATGATCGAACCCTTTCTGATGCTACAGTGAGAACAACATTCAACATTCTAGTGATTGATATCAATGACAATGCCCCACAGTTTAATAGCTCGGAGTACTCTGTCAGCATTCCAGAATTGGCTCAGTTGGGTTTTGCATTGCCTCTGTATATTGAAGTTCAAGATAAAGATGAGGTAAGGGGTATATAGATTGCTTTGCTTTGTTTTTTATTCTTCCTAGGCTCTTATGTTTTGATGTATAAGTTGTTCTATACTTGATTGGAGCAGCTGTGACTTGGGGAAAACATTAAATAATAATTGTAAATAGATAATCTGCGCTTCTGGAGAGAGGTAGTAAAGAAGGAAAATTAAGTGAATACTTAAATAATTAAAAATGGTAGTATAGAAGGAATAAATAAGTAAATAATTAAATAATTAAAAATAGTGAACAAATCTAATAAACCCAGAGCAGCTCTAAAAAAGGGGGTTAAAGAAATCCCTACGTTAATCAACCAAAATAAAAAGCGCTAAAGGTATTAAATATTCTGTATAAAAAGTGGAAGATAGGTTTTCAGGCGGGTCGGCCTGGAGCCTATTAATGTATATGAAATGTGATTAATAAACCAATACAAAATTGCTGTGATAAAGATAAAACATAAAAACCAATCAAATTGTCCAATAAAGTCATATAAAAATCCTGTGAAACATCAAAAAGTGTTCCTTATGGAGAAAAATTCGGTGAACGGTGAACCCCGTGTACAAACAAAGATAGCAGTGTATTTAAGGTGGTCCGAACTGCCCCTCTCGGGTGGGTACTCACCAAATAGAAGCTGATCAAAAGAGCTCTTAGTGAGCAATAGCGTAGTTGGACTTAGCGTAGCGAGACACCCGCTGTTTGAGACACCCCTTCCTGTCTTACATCACTTCCTGTTGGGCAGTTCCCTAGTGGTTCTCCCAACGTATTGGAGTCCGCAGGTACATTCCAGAAGCACTTTACCAACACCGCGTCTAAAAGGATTGATCTCCTCATCCCTGAGACATAGCCAGCAATATAGGGGAGAAAGCCAAGTGTTCGTCTGCCGGGACTTGTGGAGAACACGTTTGCGCTCAAGTTCTGAATTAGTTCTGAATAGAGTGGGAAAGATTTAGAACCTCTTCTTTTGCCCTCTGTGTTGTTGTTGGGGATATTTCTCATTATGTTTTGCCCAGTGAACACACAGAATGAGGGGAATTTCACCATGCGGAATACAGACAGCAATAAAAATGTGGTACAGGTTCTAACTAGGGATGCACCGTACGAGTACCGATAATTTTTTTTTTGGTACTCGCCGATACCAATTACAGAGTAACGTAAGTCCCATTCAGGAAGCATGGTGGCGTGTAATGACTCGCCACCTGGCTTTCTGATTAGCCGGGAAGCCAGGCAGCATGTAAAGACTCGCCACCCGGCTTCCCGATTACCAAAAAAAGTGCCCTCTTACCTTAGTATATGCAGCCTGTCACCCCGTGGCCTCTCCAGCGAGAATGCGGCCTTCCTCTGGTACCCAGTCGGAGTCGCCTGGCCGGCCAATGAGTAAGCTGGGCGCCGTGTAATGATGCGACTCCCTGCTTTCTGATTGGCCGGTAGGCCGGCCCCATGCTCCCTCGTTATGAGATGACATGAGGTGCCCGGCTTCCTGATTGGCCAGACGGCTCCGGCTGGGTACCGGAGGAAGGCCGCATTCTCGCTGGAGAGGCTTCGGGGGTGACAGGCTGCACATACTAAGGTAAGGTAACCTTACCTCACGAGGCGACGAGAGAGCATGGAGCTGATTCCCGGCCAATCGGGAAACCGGGCAGCGTGTAATGACGCGCTGCCCGGCTTCCTGATACCGGAAGTACTCGTGCTAGGCATCGGAGCATTTTGGTGAGTACTCGCCCAAATACTCTAAATCAGCACCCATATCGATGCTAGCATCGGTATCGGTGCATCCCTAGTTCTAAGCCTTCCCCGCTCTACAATAAAAGGGCTGTTATTGCTGCCTACTGCCTGTACATGTGGTGCAGCCAATTAACCTGATGATTTTTTGGGTTTTCTTAAACCACTTTTTTTACAAATGAATTTGTAAGCAAAAGACTCTAAGTCAAATATTTGGAGTGCAGCTTTTGTTAGCTGTTGGTATATAGTTACAAACATTGTTTATTGTTAGATTAATCTTTAGCTTTATTCATTGATGTTCATCTGGGTGTTGTAATTAAGCTATCATTTATGTATTTGACCAACCTACTAACATTCTACAAAGAGGTAAGTAGAGATGTGGATGGAGGGAGGCCGGTGGATGTGGTATATAAGGATTTTGCCAAAGCTTTTGACGCGGTACAGGAATGGGTCCGGAGCGTATTGATAAATGGCTCTTTCTCAGATTGGTCTAAGATCGAGAGTGGTGTTCCCCAGGGTGCTGTGCTAGGCCCCATAATGTCTAACCTGCTTATTAATTATATTGGGGAAGGTGTTAATAGCCATGTTTCTGTGTTTGCTGCTGATACTAAAATTGGGAGGGTAATAGACATGGACTTAGACACTATAACATTGCAGGAGGACCTGGATGAAATAGGGGAGTGAGTAACTATATGGCAGATGAGGTTTATTATTGAAAAATGTAATGTAATGCATTTTGGGGTTAAAAATAGGCAAGAAGAATACACATTAATGAGTACCCCACTAGGGAAGTCAGAAATGGAAAAAGATTTGAGGGTCATAGTAGACCACAGACTGAATAATAGCTTGCAATGCCAGGCTGCAGAAAACAAAGCAAGCAGGGTACTATGTTGTATTAAAACGGAATGTACTGTAGAGACAAAGCAATCATTTTGCCACTTTATAGATCGCTGGTTCAGCCTCATCTGGAGTATGCGGTCCAGTTTTGGTCACCAATCCACAGAAAAGATGTCCTTGAGCTGGAGAGAGTCCAGATTCTGTGTGCCACATTGTATAAGGGAAATAAAGATTCTTACACTTAAAGGCTCAACAGAACCCACAAACCCATACTCATTGCATAGTGAGCTCGATATATGTACAGTAAAAGCTCCGTAACCATGTGATCGTATACTGCGTTTGCTAGTGGATGCTTCCTGTGTAACTGATTCTGCTACTCCCGCTGTTGTCAATTATAATCAGCATATGGCAGCACTTCAATGCTTCTAATCACAGTTTCTGATATACAGCACAGAGTCCATATTAGACATCCTTCAACAAAAGTGGTCACACAGATCGATCACATAGACCAGAGTATCACATAGCAGCGCTGTCCCAGCAGTGTTCTGTCCAGTATCCACTACTCATGTAGTGGATACAACCAAAGTTGGTAGGTGTGTAGCTATGACCGTAAGAGTCAAGCGATGCTGATGAGGCTAACACACCTACCAACTTTGGTTGTCCCACTAGAGGGTTCACTTTTGAATTTTTCTATATTAGAGCCTTAATAGTCAAAGTACTATATTCATTTTTTATACATCTTGCCCTTTTTTACTTGAACCCTATTTGTGGGACTCCAAGGGGGTCATTAGGAGGTTCCCCTATTGGGGTGAATTCTTTTTATTTCAATTACATTGTCTAAATGTTCTTTTTTAATAATTTGTTTTGACGAACCAATACATTTTCTAATGTTATATACTGTATAATCAATTTTGATGTGATGTTTACTGGATTTGTCACTCTGCTAGCCAACACAAACCCTTATTTTTCCTTCTCTGCCGTATCATTACCAAATTAACTAGGGGTTGGCTCCCAGAGATTTGGTGATCTGTGCACCTCAAACCAATTTTGCTTTTATATTTGACAAAAATCAGTATTTTATTTTGTTTTGGGGCACTACAATTAACCTTTTTTCTACAGGGTGCTGGCTTTCAGAAAATATATAATGTTTTTGGGGTTTAAATTAATTTTTAGGCCTAAAATGTGGGTTATATCATGTGTAAAAAACGGGAAAAAAGGCCTTGGCAGAGAAAGGGTACTTATAGGGTTAAGAATGAGTGGTATGGGTGTGGGCTGCCCAGAGATGTATTTAGTGTGTGAGGTGTTTGCCAATGTAGTCAATTTTATAGAAGGTGTGTTTTGGTAATGGTGTTGCATTTACACTATTTTGTATGGTATAAATGTATTAATAAAGGTAAGCCATTTGGCAAAGTTTAAGGGAATTGGTCGTGTAAGCAGCTTCTGTAGCCACCTCTTTCCCTTGTAGAAGGTGGCAATTTGTATGCAATTTTTGGATATGCCTGTGTTGCACTTATGCTGTTTGAACATGCTATTTTACTCTCTACATGTGTTTTTTCTTTTTTTCCCTTGCAGAACATTGTTTTTTATTCTAAACAAACTAGATACATGTATAATTATTAATTACATCTACATTGCAAAAAGTTCAAGCAGCCTTTTCCACTTGTTCTCATATTTTGTGTGGGTTCTTCTCCCAGTCTCTCATATGCATTTATTGTTTCACTGTTGCCAGTTGTGGTGTTATGTTTATCTACTCACAGGCTTCTGTAGGCAAGTTTGGTTTAAAGCTTATCATTTTGCTGCCCATCTAATTAACTTCGATCTAGCACCACACCATTAAAATCCATTGGGAGTGTTCCAGATCAATATGGAAATTTAAAAGCAAAGAAAAATGTGCAGGGATGCTTTTCAGCAGTGTATTTTATCTACTTGTCAGACCTAATAGGCTAACCATGATTTACCTCAGGTAGAATTATTGGTCCCGCCACAAAGGGACCAAATGACTCGTCACGTACACTGTATGTGACAAGTTATTTGCTGCATTAGATGGCTGGTAACCTCTGAGATATCTCTCTCGATCGTATACTGGCTTTTTTTTCACTTTCAGGAATAGATACATAATGTATCTATTCCTGAAAGAAGAATGTTTCAGTTTTCTGATCGTTGTTGGAACGATCAGAAAACCTTTAGTGACAGCTGAATCCTGAACTGCTGCAGGATCAGTGTCACTAACTTATTATTGGCTGTTCTGAAGTTTGAAGCAGCCTAATAATAACCAAAAATGTATTAATTTATCAAGCAGTAATAGTGAGATTAATTCACACTGACTGCTTGATATAATTAAATAAATAAAATAAAAAATGTTGACATTTTAAAAAAATAGTGAAAAGTGTAAAAAAAATAGTGAAAAGTGTAAAGAAAAAAAAGTGTAAATAAATAAAGG